ATGGGCAGCCCCGACAGGAGAACTCGGTGATTTCGGGTAGGGGTCCAAGGGCTGCCCATCCTCACACTTCTGTCCGTCTTTCAGATCCTGAGCGCTTCTCAGCCCTGTCCTTTTGCTGTTGTGACTTTCTAAAGCCTGCACTATTTGCTAGGTAGGCAACAGTGTCTGAGCTTCCCCTGGGCTGGGAATTGCAGAAATTGATTCCTGCCGTTGATTATTGAAAGAGTCTGGAGGTCAGGAGAGTTTCCAGGCTCATCAGGTTTCTTCCTCCTCCCCAAGGCACACTCTGGCTTTGTGGCACGTTTGCTGAAGAAAAGCAGCTGTTCAGGTCTGGAGGAGAAAAGGGCAAAACTGACAATCACACAAAATGAAATGCATGGTTTTTCATGTAGACAGAGCACAGGGGATCAGGGCAGTCCAGCCAGTGTCCTCCCAGCTGCCAGACACAGACATGGGATGTAGGTTTGGCTTTAGGTTTGATTCTTCCTGTGAGCACAGGAAAAAGGGCTGGGATGCAGAATACAAGGGTTTCCTCCTCCTAATGTACCTGTGGCAGCAGCTGCTTGGAAAACTTCATCTCATTTTGAAGTCTGATTAAATTGAGGAGAAAGGAGCTTTCACAGTCTGTCTCTTCTCAGAACAGTGTCTGAGCAATGGAGCTGAAATCAAATTCAGCAGCTCTGTGTGCCCAGAGACGTCGTGGCTGAGCAGTTTGATGCTGAAGGTTGTGCTGTGCTGGCTGCACCCCCGAGGACAGTCTGGGCCGAATCCCTCCCAGAGGAGTCACAGATTTAGTCTTGATTGAGCACAGTCATGTGTTTGGAATATTTCTGAGTTGGAAGAAAACTCTTGTAGCTGTTTCTGTCAGAGAAGATTGTGGATGTGTTTGGTGCCTGCACTGATATTTCTGCAGATTGTGACTCTCCACTAAAGGTGACAGCAGAGAGGAGACCTGTGCAGGCTTCCCCATCACATGCTCACCTGAGGGAGCACCCTGATGGGAGGATCTAATTTATAACTTACTTTTGGACACAAAAGGGATAGCTCTCCATATTTCTATAAACCTGATTTATCACCTGTGTGTCAGTGACATCAGCACAGTGATCAGTGCAAGAGATGCATTTTCATCAGTTCTCTATTAGAATGAGAGATGTGTGCTTTACAGGCAGCTCAAGCACAATCATAAAAATAGGGTTTGTCCTAAATAATATGTCAGAAATAGAAATTCTTCTCCTGTGATTACTGGTCCTTTTTGCCAGCTTTGCCAGATCTCACAGGACACTTGCAGCTCCCCTGATGTATTGCAGGATGGAGACCTGCCAGGGATCTGAAGGAAATCAAATCCTACAGGCTTTGCCTGTTCTCTCCTTTGCTGCACGTGTGCTGAGGTGCAGGAACAATTCCTTCCAGACTGTTTATGCTGGGCTTTGCCCTTTCCCATCACCAGTGCAGCTGTGTGACCACAGTCCCTTCTTTTTCCCTGTGCTCTGAATACACAGATGCTTTGCTAGAACCTCTTGGAGAGGTGATGTGCATGTGCTATGTTCAGCTTGGTCACTTCCAAGGGCTCCTCAGGAAGATCAAACATGGACTAGGGGAGAACTGTGCATTATGAGAAATACAGGAATGATTCTCTCAGCTCTAAATGAAGGTTGTTTCCAATTAGTTTAATGAAGAACATTGTTTTCATGTCCAGAGTCACTTGGTCTGTACAGGGAGATATAAACCACTCATCCCTGAACACAGACACTCTGAAAAGCACAGGAGAGTAAAGAAGATCATTTCCACTGGGCTGTGAAGCATTGAGCATGCAGGGTGTTCTGTGGAGGAGATGAAATCCCTTCCACCACGGCTCTGTGTCCTCCTGGCACCCATCACCCCTGGGAGCTGCCAGCTCAGGAGGTGTCCTGGCTGCTCCGAGCAGCCAGCCCCTGTGTCCAGACACGCAGCGTGTTTCATGTCCAAATGTCACACCAGGCCGGGACCTGCCAAGACAATGAGACAATGACAATGACAATGCAAGAGATGCAAAGGCTCATCAGTGAAATCCATGGCTGAAGGAATGCTGATCAAGTGGGAGGATCAGCCTGATCCCATCCCAGGCTGCTCAGTGCCACGGGCAGCAGACTCAGAGGTCGCTGGCCAGGAAGGTGTCACCGTGTCCTCTGGGGAACTGAAGGAGCTGGGCACTCCTCATTAGCCAGAATTCCCTCTCACTTCCATGTGTGTCTTGTTTTACAGATGGGGAATGAGTCCAACACCTCAGCGTTCACCTCCACCTTATCGGAGACAGAAGACCTGATTTTTGGCACTCTCTATTTAGTCTTTGGTAAGGAAAGATGGCCAGTTGATCCTGGGTCCCTGCCCAGCTGCCTGCCAGAAACAGTCAGGCCTTTTCAGTCACTGATGCTTCCAGAAGTGTCCAGTTATTAGCAGAATAATTCAACTTTCCCTTCCCATGTTACTCAAAAGAATGATCTGGTGACTGCATTCCCCCTCAGGTGAATTGCAAGTGTCTGTTATGGTTTTAAATATTTGGAAAGTTTAATACCTGTGGAATTAAACTTTAATACCTGAGGAATGTGCTGTAACTCCTACCACAGCTACCTGAGGTGAGACAGGCAAGGGCTCTGTTGGTACCACCAGTTTCAGGTCCATTGGAGGGGATTTGGAGCTGGCCATTGATTTCAGCAGGAGTTGGTAAAGCTAATAAAGTGTATTTAGCACAGATGTGAGACTCGCTCTGTGGGAAAAATGCCTTGTGAGGCTGGGAAAAAGGATAAACATCTCAATACTCTGCTCTCCAGTGACTCCAAAGCCTCCAAAGCTCTGGACTTGGGAGTCCTGTTCCTGAGGAGAACTTTAGTGTTGGCTATTCAGTGGTGTTGGAAGCTGGTCCTTGCCATGGGATTTAATTTGCAGCCTAATCCATTAGGGAGGAACTCTTATCCTGCCCAACCTGCCCTGAGAGCAGCAAAGATTCTCTTTCTGAGGACACTGAAACCTCTTTTCCATGAAATCACTATTATGTAATGAAAAAGAGAAAGCCCTTGTTATAAAACTTTAATCACCACTGTTGATTTAAATACACTAATAGCAAACTAAGAGCCTTCTTTTGTTTAGTCTGCGTTTTCCTTGATCTTCATAATGCCTTTCTTCTTGTTTATTTTGTTACCCTGATAAGGGACAGTGCAGACTCACAGGAGTGACACTGCCAGGAAGAGATGACGAAGGCCAAGGGGCCCAGCTCCCTGGCCTCACATCAGAGGAGCAGTTGCACAAAGCTCATGTTATTTATTTAGCTGGGAGGAAGTGTCCCCTTGCTCCTTCCAGCTGCAACAAGTGACTTTGGCCAGGTCCCGCACCCGTTGTGGTCTCATCCCACCTCTGCCCTCCTACCAAACGCCTCTGTGGGATCTCAGGAAGGGGAAGGGATCTGATCCAATGTAAAGTAGCTCCAGATGTGCTCACAGACTCTGTGGGTCCCGTGGGCTCTCCTGCTCAGCCCACCCCAGAGAGGGAAGCCTGGAGCCCTCTCCACCCTCTGTAGACTTCTGCAGTGTTTGCTTCCAAAAATCTCAAGATGCTCCTGGTTCCTTTCCTGGCTCTGTCACACACAGGACCGTTCTCTGCCTCCTCCACAGGCATCATATCCCTGTCTGGGAACTCCCTGCTGCTGCTGGTGGCCCATCAGAAGAGGTCCCTGCTGAAACCTGCCGAGTTCTTCATCGTCAACCTGGCCATCAGTGACCTGAGCATGACGGTGACGCTCTTCCCCTTGGCCACCTCCTCCTTCTTTGCACACAGGTACCCGTGGGAGTGGCTCTGCCCTGGCCCAGTTTGCCAACTGGGAACCAGGAGATCCCTGGCAGTGCAGAGGGCTGTGGGGCTCAGCCTGGGGACACGGGGGCACAAGTAAGCTCCCAGCCATCCCACAGCGAGTGTTAGGTGCTGCTTGTCCCTCCAGTTCCTCACACAGGCCCGCTGCCAAAGGGGTTTAGTGGTGAGTGTCCAAGCTGGCACTGCAGTGGTGGGAGCTGCTGCTGGTCAGGGCAGCTCCTGCACCCCCAGCTCCACCCGTGCAGGTCCCTGGGATGCTCAGGGAACAAATTAGGAGCCAGGCCATGGCCATATTCCCTTGCTCAGGTGCTGGTACCTGTGCAGCCCGTTGAAACCTCCCCACAGGTGCTGCAGGAGTGGCACGGGCACTGGGAGATGCCCAAAGGGGAGAAGCGTGCGGGGCAGGGCTGCAGCCCCCGGCAGGCTCAGCTGCTGCTCTCCTTGCAGGTGGCTCTTTGGGCAGGCCCTGTGCACCCTCTACGCGTTCTGCGGGGTTCTGTTCGGGCTGGGCAGCCTGGGCAGCCTGGCGGTGCTGAGTGCCGTGTGCTGCCTGAAGATCTGCTTCCCGGCATACGGTAGGTGCCTTATCAGATCCTCGCTCACACCCCGCTCTGCTAACAGAGCCCTTTTCCTTTTAATTAGCCAGATCCACCTCTTCAGGGAAAGCTTTGCCCCCGGGCGACCTATTCCCAGCCGGTATTTAGAGTCACAGTATGGCAGAAAAAGTTTAGGCTGGAAAACGTCTTTAAGACCATTGAGTTCAGCTGTTACCACAGCACTTCCAAGCCCAGCACTAAACCATGTCCCCAAGTGCCACAACTGTGTGCCTGTGGCACAGCAGATTGCAGCTTTTTGAATGTCCACACACAGATTTGAGCTTAGACTAGAGCAGACTGCAGCTGGGAAGCCACAAACCCTGGCAGAGCAACGAGACCTGCTTTCCTTGGTCCCTGGTGGGAGAGCCATAGGCTAAATGTATTTAATTCACTGAAATAATTAATACAGGAGGGCTGGGTTTGCAGCTCATGTCTGTAGCCCTGTTTTCCCCTGCATGTCCTTCACAGAGCTAAGGTGAATGACTGCACTGCAGAGAGCACCTGAGGAAGTGAGGGAGCCCAGGGATGTTCCTTACACAGCTCCTTCTCCAATACAGAGTTCTTCCTCAGCTCAGCTGCTAATCCTCTCTCTAGCATTTATCTTCAGAATAGACTTTGCATGAAAGACCAAAACCAGAAACAAACCGGGAAATCACACATATCAGTTGGGTTTGCAGACCAGCACCCCAGGGTCCCTCCCAGCCCCCTGTCCTGTGACTCAGTGCCCGTGTGCTCCGAGCCAGTGGCTGCTGCCAGCCACCAGCGTGTCCCCAGCGGCTCTCAGTGCCTCAAGGACAATGCTGGAGCAGAGGCACCTTGGCTATGTGCCAGCACAACAGCTCAGGAGGTGGCCAGACAGGTGGGAGGAAAGATAAAGGTGTAGGTTGGCTGTGGAAAGGCAGCCCAGGTGACGGTGGCTTTTCCCTGCACAGCCTCTGCTCTTGATCAGCCAGTGCTTGGCAGCCTGGCACTTGGGGCTTATCTGCAGCCCAGCCCATCTTCTGTGAGGAAATGCAGAATCAAATTGTGCTTTTAGTTGCTTAGTTTCAAAGCAAAATGTTGCTTGTATGTATATCTGAAGATTTAGCACTTTACAGTGAGCCTTAGAAGATCAGAGAGTTTGAGATTTGATGGGGGTTGGGACAAAAGTGAAAACAAAACGTCTCCCCCAGAGCTTCACTCTTAAGGAAGGTCCTTGAAGGGATGGGGTGGCCTTGAGGAGCCGCTGCAGCCGGCGCAGTGACCGCACGAGCTCCCGGCGGTGCCCGGAGCCCCAAGGAAGGGGCTGACCCTGCGGCCGGGGCTGACCCCGGTGCTTGTCCTGACTGCTGTGCCAGGCCTGGGGGCGGCTCAGGGTGTGATTCCCTCTCCCCCGGCCCCGGGAGCCCCCCTGAGCTCGGTCCCCCCACCGCAGGGAGCAGGTTCTCTCGGAGGCACGCCGTGGGGCTGCTGCTGGCCGTCTGGGCCTACGCCCTGGCCTTCGCCACCGCGCCCCTGGCCCGCTGGGGCGGCTACGGCCCCGAGCCCTATGGCACAGCCTGCTGCATCACCTGGGAGGCCTCCAGCAGGGAGGCCACGCTCTACATCCTCGCCCTCTTCATCTTCTGCTATGTCCTGCCCTGCCTGCTCATCCTGCTGTCCTACGCACTGATCCTGTGGACGGTCTGGGAGTCACGGAGAGCTCTGCGGCAGCACACGGCGCCCCGGCGCAGCGCCCGCGGCGGGCACGGCCTGCTCCTCAAGGTACGGGCACGGCTTCTTCCTCAAGGTATGGGCACGGCCTGCTCCTCAAGGTACGGGCATGGCCTGCTCCTCAAGGTACGGGCACAGCTTCTTCCTCAAGGTATGGGCACGGCCTGCTCCTCAAGGTACGGGCATGGCCTGCTCCTCAAGGTACGGGCACGGCCTGCTCCTCAAGGTACGGGCACGGCCTGCTCCTCCAGGTACGGGCACGGCCTGCTCCTCAAGGTACGGGCACGGCCTGCTCCTCAAGGTACCTGGGGTCAGGGGCTGTTCCTCAAGGTACGGGTATGGAGTCTGCTCAAGGTACAGGCTTGGGGTCTGCTCAAGGTAGGGGCTCAGGGGCTGTGGGGTCCTGGGGTGCCCTGCCCTGCCCAGCACCCATGGGCAGGTGAACAGCAGGGCCCCTCCTGCCTAGCGTCTTCTGCTCCTGATGAATCCTCCAGGTGTTTGTGTCAGTGTGGGTAACAACTCATTGCTCCCCATTTAAAGTCTTCAGCTGGAGGAGTTTTCATTTTAAATTACATTGGAAAAGATCATAAAGGAGCTTGCATGAGTCATTGTTCCCCAGACTACAAGCTAATACTATAATTTACCAAGGATATGTAAAAAGCCCGGAATAACCTTTAAAAAATACAGCACAAAAGAAAATAGCTTGCAAGCCTGGCTTCAAAGGAAACATCCACATCCAGTCAGGGGAGAGGGACTGAGCACAGCCCATTTCCAGGCCCCCCAGGCCACACAGGTTTCTGGAGGGATTTCCAGTGCTGCCAAAAGCTGTTGGGGTCCGATGCTGAGCTGGTCCCAGCCAGGTCACTGGGTCCTTGGTACCCATCTGCCAGAGCAGGCTGAGGCCATTCCCGAGTTTCCCAGGTGGGACAGGGAGTGAGTGGCCTGAAGCAGGACCAGGGCTATGCATGGGCTGTGCTGAGTTTCTGCCCTGTTCTCTGACATTCCTGTACAGGTCCTGAAGGCTGAGCAGCTTTCCCTGGGGATGTGAGGGCTGCTCAGGGTCCTGCTGTACGTGGCTGAGTTTGGGGAGGGTGTCAGTGTTCCCTGAGTGCTGCAGGAGACTCACAGCACTGCCATCTGCTCCTTCTCCAGCTGAGCGTGGCCGTGTGCCTGGGGTTCCTGGCTGCCTGGACCCCCTATGCCGTGGTTGCACTGTGGGCACTGCTGGGGGACGCCAGCCAGGTGCCAGCGCTGGCCTTTGTGCTCTCGGCCGTCTGTGCCAAGTCCTCGACGCTCTACAACCCGCTGGTGTACCTGCTCTTCAAGCCCAACTTCCACAAGTTCCTCTCCAAGGACAGGGTGCTCCTGCAGGCGCTGCGCACCCTCCTGTGCTGCGGCTGCCGGGGCGCTGCGCTCCAGCCCTTCCCATCCCCGGGCTTGGGCGGCCGCCCCAGCGCTCGCAGAAGCTGCGCTGATGCTCTGGAGCGTTTCAGTAGCTTCCCTGGGAGCTGCACACCCCCCCGGGGGCCCGGCAGCTTGGCCCAGCCGGGGCCCCTGGCCGTGCTGGCCGGTGGAGCTGCCGGGCAGCCGGGGCTGAGGAGGACGGTGCAGGTGATGGTGCTGCTCACACTGAGGTGGCCAGGCCCGGGCACTGCCAGCGTGGCGGGGGAAGCCCTGCCCTCGGCCATCGCCAAGGACCTGCTCTGAGCCCAGCCCTGCCCAGCTCTGTCCTAGCAGAGCACTGGAACACAAATGCAGCATTCTCTCACCCCCATGCCCGGTGGGTCCCAGATGTTCCACAAGTGAAGTGACGTGAAGATGTAAGACCAACCCCTCTGGTTTGGCTCTTGCAGCTCTGAGCCTGGTGTTGGCACTCCCAAAAACAAGAACAAAAATCGACCCCGGTGCCTGAGATGTGCCCAGGGTGCAGCCCAGTCTCTTCTGCAGTTTGCTCTCTGGGCCCTTGGCCTATGTTTTTCCAAACTGGTGCTCTGATGGCCAAGTAGGAACTTGGAACTTAAAAACTGTGGCTGGCAGGGCGGGCTGGGGGCCATGAGGGGCATCTACCTCCAATACCAGCTCCTGCAACCCCGTAGCATCCTCTTCTCCTCCTGGGGAGTGGGACTGTCCATCACAGCTACCTCACCTGGGATTACAAAGCACCTCCCTACAGGTCTCAGGGACTGCTCTCTGTGCCAGCTGTGCCACCCTGCTCTGTCCCCCTGTGTGAAAGTCACCACTGTCCTACAGACAGAAACGGGAGCTTGTCTTTAGAGTGAGCACCCCCCTGGAGAAGGGACTGTGGCCGCAGGGTGGCCCCGGTGCTGGGACAGCAGCTCATGCCACCTGCACTGCTGCCTGGGCTGCAGCACCCCACAGGACTGAGGGTGGCCTTTGGAGATCAGTGGGGGCAGCACACCCTTGGGTACAGCCTGGGACAACAAGGACAAGAAGCTGTGCCAGAGCCTGGTGCAAAGGCATCCACAGGATAACCCCACCTGGAAAGTTCCCTGTGCCCTCTGGTACACGAGGGGATCACACAGCATCTCCACTGACTGTTCATCATGTTCCAGAACTTGTCATTTCTAAGTAAACTCACACAAAGCCAGCATCGACTTGGTTCAGCTCTGTTGGTGGCTGCACTCCAGGATGACGGGAACGCGTCTGGGGCTGGTGCAGAACGGGGCTGGGGCCATCCCAGGGCCATCCCAGGGCCATCCCGGGCCATCCCAGGGCCATCCCGCTGCTGCCCATCGAGAGGAGCCTCCAGAAAGGGACCAGCAGCCGATTTCCCCAAACACGAAGGGCTGCTGCCATCTCCTGGGGGCAGCAGCACCCGGGGCTCTCCAGGCAGCAACCTCTGCCTCAGCTGCTGGGCTGCTTAGCTGAGAACAGGAAGAAATCAAATGCAGTCTTGCACAGGTTTGCAGATGACACCAAGTTCAGATGGAGGAGCTAGTTTGTGGACAGAGGGTCATGGTTTAATATTGGTCTGATAAAATAGGAAATTACCTAAAGTAACTGCCAGGCAAGTAAAAAAATAATTTCTTTTCAAAGCATATAAGGTGAAGAACTCCAAACTGAAATGACTGACAGAAAAGCCATTGTATTGATAAATGAATATGAGCACGGGGCACTATAGTAAAAACTTCTTTTGGTTCCAGAATAAGGGAGTTAGCTTTGCTCTCTCAGAATAAACACTTAATCCTGAGTTTTGACAAAGGTAATATTAAGTTTTAGACTAGTTGGTTTTAAATCCCACAATCCCCAGTGTGCTCACTGGAATCGTTTCCGGGCCATTCCCTCGGCTGCTCCAGACTCCAGAGGGCGGCAGTGACCAGCTCACCTGGGGCAGGTGCGGCCCCGGAGCCACCGGGAGCACCGGGAACCGCGGGCTCGGGAACAAACGGGACAGGATTGTGACACCCCGCTGTGACAGCAGCTCCAGCACTGAACACCGCAGGAGAAGCTCGCAGGGACCTTCCAGCAGCTCCTGGACATAAAGGCTCAAGGTGAGGAACGCAGTAGGAGTGATGGGAAACTGAAGTTTAATTCAGTCTGCTGGGGTCTAGAAGGGTGACAAAATGGCCAATTTTCACACAGATCCTCCCAGGGACCAAGGAGGCACCGATGGCTTTCACAGCCTGCTCAGCCCCAGCTGTGCGTGTCCCAGCTCTGGGACAAGCAGAGAGGCCCTTCCCACAGGCAGGAAAGGGCAGCAGGGCACACGACGAGGTGTTTTGAAAAACTGCTTAGACAACAGGTTCAGGAGTCTGAATACATTCTTGAACTTTTATTCTCTCAGTAGGTAAGCAATGGATTAAAAAGCTCAGTAGCAAAACCAGACCAAAACTAAGTCTCACATCTTCAGAAATAAACATGTGCATCTGCATTTCAGATTTGGGTGCTGAACTGTAATTCACATCCTGACAGTGGATATGCAAATGACCAAGGAGGAATTTGGCAGTGGGAGCAAACTGCTGCCTGTGTCACCATGGCAAATGTGCAACAAACGTTCAGGTGTTGGCAACGCTGAGCAAACACTGGGCCATGGAGGACAAATGCAGAGATACCACAGATTCTGAAACAGTGTAAGCAGAAGAGAAAGAATGGGACAGCTTAATGAAAGCTGTTTGGCACGTCCCAGCAGAGGCTGCTTCAGCCACATGCGATATTAATCTTTCTGTACCTGGATTAGATTTTATAGGCTCTTTTTCCTCATGTACATGCTGCATTTTCTTCCACTGAAGCTTAAAAATTCCACTGGTGAATTCTGGAGTGTTAGGGACACTTTGTAAATTAGGCAAAACAGAAGCTGCTCTCTCCTAAGATTTGAAGCCAAAGTGCCAGCAAGAAGCAACTGCCAATTACAGAAACCCAACTGCAACTGGCTTTAGCCAAAGAAAAGAAACTACAATTTCAAATGCAGTTCTGTGCTGTCACAGGCCCCCACTTCCCCAAAACCATGCTATAATCGGTACCATCGATTAGATCCCTTAGTATAAAAACCAAAAAATCCCATAAAACAGAAATCAAGAATTTTTTAAGTGACAAAACTACATTTTCAGAGGTGATTCCCTGTGTGTGCAACATCTGCTCTTGTCAAGGTATGCGTCTTTTCTGGGTTCAAAATGTGCAAATTCCATAAATTATACATTTCTTCCAGTCAGATTCCCTTACTAGTGCTGAAACAAATTCACAGTATAAACTGTCAAGACTCTTCATGCTGTGAATGAATATATTTTTATATATATATATAAAAGGTAAAGTGCAATTCGTTCTGTTTTGCAGAGCCACCCAAGGGCCCTGTGCTGCAGTGTGTGCTGGCAGCAGGTTTAGGGATGGGAAGAAGCCCCCCCATGAACAATGCCATCATTTCCTGGCAGATGGTTCTGCTTTTCAACGGGCTGCCTGGAATTTGCTACGCAGTGAAGTCTGAACAAAAGGTTCTTCCTTCAGCCCATCCAGCGTATGACCCTTGTGGGTTTCCCTTCCTGAACAGTAACAGCAGAGCTGTGGGTTTCACTAAGCAAGGAGCCCAGGACGTGTCTGCAATGTGGAAGTTCACCCCTGGCCCAGCAGCTGCGGTGCAGTGGGGCTCTGGGCCCCTCGGGCTCAGCGCGCGCCGGCCCCGCTCTGCTGCAGCAGCTCCTGCTCGTCGTCCTCGGAGCCCGAGGGGCCCTGGCGCACCTCCTCGTACCACTTGTTGGTCAGGGTCTTCATCTGGATGCGCCCGTCGTGCAGGTCCTGCGGCAAAGGCAGAGCACTCTGTCACCTGCTGCAACACCTCTCCTGTGTCAGGGCACAGCAGGGCCACAGCTGCACACATTCCTCAGGAAACAACCCGCTCTCTCAGCATGCACAGCCATCCTGTCTCCCACCAGAAAATATTGATCAGCTGCTCAGTGAGCAATTATTGCTACAGATGGCAGTTTGGATGTTGGGTGTTTTTACCTGCTCTCTAGACAGTCCTGCTCTGTGTGTCTCAACAATCCCAATCCTGTCTGGAGGGCCTGGCTTTGACTCTCCTCCTCGTGTTCCCAGGGACACTGGGAAGCTTGTGGCCTGCCCTGGTGATTCACATGCTTATTTTTCCAGCCTTTGGTTGCAGTCTGGAGGGCAGCCTGTGCTTTTGGTTACCAACTACAAATCAGATGCTTACTTTGGTTTCTTGATTCCTTTCTGGTTTTGCAATAAATGATTTTAGCTTTTGTAGGAAAGTGCTGAAAGGGTACTTTTGAAAAGTACAAAACGAGAGGAAAAACAGTACTTTTGAGCAGGCTAGGAAGATGGAATGTGCACTTACACAAAATTATGAACTGCACTGCCAAAATGTTTCCATGGGAAACTTGAAAAACAGTGAATTCTGTGGCTAAGGAGCCTCAGATTTCTGAAGCATGGGAGTGAAAAAGGCACAGTATTTACACCTTGGGGCCACTGAGTGTGAAGTTACTGTCAGGTGGTGTTTTGCATTTACAGCCTCAGAGCCTTGGTCTCTGGAAAGTGAGCAGTCTGGAAAGTGAAGGGTGCCAGGCTGATGCCTATTTCCAAGCCAGAAGCTGCACCCTGCAGCAGCATCACAGCTCCAGAAGTCACAGGACCACCAACAGTAAGAGGCAGGAGCTGTGTGTGACAGCTTTAAAAGCTCTGCCCGAGTGGCAGCAGCTTTTTCCAGCAGTGACTCCTGATGCCCTTCATGGTTCTCTGCACAATTAAAGGCGAGTTCAGCAAATCCATACACCAAGTTTAACTGGGGTAGCTCTGAGATGCACATTTAGTCCAACTTGCAGAGCAGCTGTTCATTACAGCTGCTGTCTCTATGCATGAGCAATACACAGATGTCCCACTGTCCCCACACAAGTCCTGTGGCTGCACACTGAGCCCTGGGTGGTACTGAGGACAACAACCAGCTCCAACAGTTTCTCTTCTTCAAGAAAATAAGAAAGACTTACTTCTTGTGTGAGTCTTCTGGTGAAGAAAGGATTCAAATACTCAACATCAAGACGCATAAAGCCTTTGAGGTTCTGGCGTTTTATGTACTGGGCTTCATATTCCTCCTCTGTGAGCTCTGATAAATGCTCTGATTCTATAGTGTTTCCCTAGAAAAATCACAAATATTGAAATAACCTGAGAGAAGGGGCAGTCATCCCACCACCCTGCCTCAGCCTCTGCTCTGTGGTCTCCCTTATCACAACCAGTTGTCATGCTGGAACAATATGGAAATGATCCCCACCCCAGCCTTACAAGGCTTAGGGCTGTATGTGTTCAGCTTCTGAATCCAAATTAGCTTCCCTTTCCATGCTGAAAGGGAAAAGACCTCAAATGTTCCATGTTTTGTATTGCCACTATTGCTGAGAACAGGTTTCTACTGTGCAGGTTTTCTCTTGTGGACTGGACAATGCTTTCATCCAGCAAGCACCACTGCTGTCACTGTGCCACTGGAATGAGCCCTGTGGAACACACCCTGTCCCTGCTCTCCTCCTGCACTTCCTTGTGTGGACAGTGCAAGGTAATTCCAGACTACAGTCAACCTCATGCAAAGTTCTTAAATGTTCTTAAGATCTTCCAGAACAATATCCTGCATATACTCTTCAATGGACTAGAGAAAAACAGGCAAAAATTGTCCTGTGATACTTTTTATTCTCCAGTCTTTTGCACAAGAGGTTCCAGAGAGGCTTTGGCTTTGCCAGATCTCTTGCTTTGCCAGAAATTGCTTTAAAATAAAGTCCAGTCAAAGGGGGTTATTGTTACCACCTTCTCATGCCCTTTGAATTTTTCAAAATAATTTCCATCTGCCTTTTATGATTAATTTCCATCTCACACTGTACCATCTACTTTCTCTCTGTATATGACTCAATCCTCTATCATCTGCTTTATGCTTTTCCAGGGGTTACTTTAATTTATATAGATTGACTTGTACCTGGATTGAATTAAGAGACTATTTCTCCTCCCCTTGTCCAAACACGTATTTTGTATAAACATTAACCAGACTCTGTCTTTGGGATACTTGAAAATCAGATTGCTTGGCTTTGTCTTCCTACCTTGTCTTTTTCTACTGCCTTCATCTTACTTGTTAGTAAAAAATCATGTGCTACTCCTGAAAAATGTTTAAACTGGAAAAAAAAACCCCACCAAACCCCAGTGATCCTCCAAATGAAAACCCCAAACAAACCATCTTCTCTGTCTTGCTAAGATTGACATCCTTCTTGTTCCTCTTGCGTGGTTTGGAGTCCTCGATGTCCACGAGCCTGATGAGGGGCATGGTTCCCCCTCCCAGCAGCAGGATGGTGAACAGCACGATGATGATGGTCGTGGTGCCGATGAGCTGCCGCTTCTCGATGGGCTCCAGGCCCAGGTGGAGGCTGAGGGCATAGGGGATGGCACCACGTAATCCTCAGGGGAGAGAACAGGCGTCAAGGGACAGTCAACCAGCAGCAACACCTGAGCACCCGGACAACTCAACTGCAACTCTCCACCTTCCAAAGGATTTTTACAATCCTATGGCATGCCCATTATCTGTCACTTGGCTACCACCCTAAAACAAGTCAGCATTTCAGACAGCATTGCTCAAACTCTGAAGCTGCTGGGCCTAGAGACAAGCAGCCTCTAGGCAGAAAAGGGCTCACCAGAGCAAAGTCCTCCAGCACAAAGGGGAAAGAGAACATTCTCTGCACTTGGGTTTCAGAATAGTGCAAATGCTGAGTTTTGCTCAATTAATGAAAAACCAGTTTGTCCTAGAGTGGGCCACACAATGAAAGAGATCAAACATTTTTTCTGGTTCTCAGTATTTTGAGCTTTAACTTACCACTAAACCACATGATAAACATCATTTTGGGAGTGATTTTATGATCACGGAAGAAGTTGAGTAGGTAGGAAAGCGGGAAAATATTCACTGCTCTACCAAAAAGAACCAGCACCTGAAAAACAGAAATAAAAACAAAAGACCATTTGATGTGTTACATCCACAGGGCCCCAGCTGCAGCTGGTTTTACAGGGGAAGGTGAGTATGTTCTTTTTGGCCACAGGCAGGTGTGCTGCTCCATGAACAGAGAGAAACCCCTCAGCACAGGGCACTGTGGAATTTTACTCCTGAAACATTTTGTCTGCTTAACTGAAACTAAATCAGACCTGTCATGGATGGGGACCAGGCTGCTTTACTTATAATAAATAAATGGAACCCA